ACAAGGCGGTCACGCCGGCCAGACCAGCCCCTCCCCGCCCCCAATAGCGAGTCGATACCTTTCTAGGCGCGAACGCGAAGCACTGGGCGAAGAAAGCGTGAGCCGGGACGCCGCAGTAAAGCCTGACCACGGCGGTGGAGCTCCTGCAACAAGGCGGTGGCGTTCCGGTAAGTCACAACAACGCCGGAGTAAAAAGGGTAGCAAGTGAGCTCCAGACACTCACCATGGACCTAGACGAGGTGGTGGTTCGACCGGAGGCGGCCCAAGCCAAGCTGGCTGCGTGCGTACGGACGGTGCGGTGGTGCACCACGGTGGCAAGGCTGCGTCAGGTGTGGCTAGAGGGTGGTAGCGACTTGGCAAGGGTGTGTCGGGTGCTGGGTGGGTGGAGGCGAAGCTGGCGGTGCAACGAAACGAACACGAGCAGCTCTGGATTGGGGGCCTTGCTGTGGACACGTGCCGAGACGAACTTAACAACCCGGCGAGAGGAAAGCTCCAAATTGGAGCATGGCTCAATGACTAACACCGCACGATGGGGTCGGGTGGCTGGCTGACTACACCGCGAAGCCATGGACAAAGCTAATTGGACCAAATTGGTTCCACCAGGCCGAATTGGAAGGCGCGGGTCCGGCGACAGAGGAACAGGGGAAGACAGGCGTGGCTTGGCTCGTCGCTGCCGTGGCGGGACGTGGCTGTCAACTCGGTGCACAAACACGCACGTGCTACAGGGCGATGGGGGACAGCGAAATGTGCTCGAGGCGGTTGGCCGCATTGCCATAATTAGCAAGCCGACGAAGGCTCGGCCCTTTGCGCCGCAGTGGACGGCGCCAGCCAAGGAAGAGGGAGCAGCGTAGTGTCGTATCGAGCACGGATGTGATGGCAAGGTAGGCGGAGCAAGCCCACGCACGGCAATGCGACGGTGCGGCAGGGCCGTGTGGTGGCCGTAGCAGGCCAAGTGCGGCCACGCGCGCACGGTCCCGAGCAGGCGAGCGCGAGGCGGAAGAGCGACCAGGCGGACGAGACGGCGGAGGCAGAGCGAGCACACGCGAGCGACTCAGCACTCACGACCGCGGCTGGTAGCAGCGTGGTGACACGACGCCACGTAGGCAACGACACGGCGAAGCGAGCGGCAGCGGACTGGCCACGGCAGCGGGCCCGCGATGACGGCGGTGGTGGCCGAGCGGCAAGGCTCGCAGGGCGCGGCGTGCGTGCGTGTGCGCGAGCGCGTGCCAGGGCGCGGTAACGGCGGGGCAGCCTGCGCAGCGGTGCGCGCTTGGGCAAGCCAGTGCTGCGGCGCCGAGCCGAACCGAGGCAGTGACCGCGTCTAGAGGCTGACACCAGCCGCAACGTGCCATGCACGATTTTTAAAGCGCCCCAAAAATCCAACTCGATGCTTCAATTGCTAAACCACCTATTTTATACTTGAGGTGACATGTCAAGCTACTGAAACAAACCCTAAGACCCTACCACTGCTTAACCCGGTTCTTCTACGAAAATTGCCGAACTTAGCTTCGTCAAACCAATTTCTAACTTGAGAAATGTGACTGTCTTGATCGGTTTCGCGTCGAATTCAATTTCGAAGCTAATAAGTATGCTAGCTAGTGAATCCCGTTCTCGACCGCAAGTATTTCACTGCCACCTACGAAATTTACACTACCACTTTATTAAAGTGCCGTATATGCATTTTATAGCATTGTCGTTCAATAAAAAATCGTTTAAATCCCGTTCGTGGGCGGGGCGGCAATAGAATGGGAGGGCATGAGCGCTACGTGAATGAGCGGTTGAGAAAAGGATACGGAGGAGTGCGAGAGACAGCGTGCAGCACGGATGAGCTGGATTCGGCGCGGATCGGATGCGTCCGTCCTCGTTCGGAGTCCGCTGTATATCGTTAAGGTTGCTCGATGCCAACTCAGGCATAGCACCAGACAGCCATGCATCGTGGTCTGGTCCTGAATTTCCAAAACCAGACACGTGGTCTGGTCCTGAATGTCCTGAATTTCCAAAACCAGACACGTGGTCTGGTCCTGAATGTCCAAAACCAGACACGAGCAGCTCTGGAGCCAGACAAAGATGCCTCAAGTTAAAACAAACATGCTACATGCCTACATGCATATATGCAACCAATGGCGCTGCGCGGATAAGCCAGACGGTTGGGACTCACATACTAGTCGCATCACTTGGCCTCCCTGTCCAACTACTCCTGGGATCATCATAGTTTTGTCACGCATCTTGCCACGACAAGAGCGCGTCATGGTAGGCGCCGTGCCGGCCGAGGATCTGCCCGGCGACGTGAGCAGCAAAGGCTACGGCGCCAAGCACCTGCAACTGCCGCCGCCGGCGCAGCAGCCTGATGTCAAGGCCGAGAGCGGGTGGTTCGAGGAGGAGATCGACGACGACCTCAAGCTGTGCTACGCTCTTAACAGGTGAAGCTAGACAGTTTCGCACGCAGGCAAACGTGATCTCGATTCGGTTTTTGCCTTGAATGGAGAGCTAGGCAAACGTGAAACGTGATTGATTTTGCTGCCCCAGCGTGCTGCACCGAGGGCCGAGCAAGTACCAGGAGATCGTGCTCCTCGACACGAAGCATTTTGGCAAGGTATGTTGCAGTTCAGTTAGATCGTGTGTGTGTGTGTGCGCGCGCGCGCGCGCAGCCGCGTTTAACAACGTTGTCGGTTGCATTTCAGGCTTTGATAATCGATGGGAAGATGCAGAGCACGGAGATGGACGAGTTCATCTACCACGAGTCCTTGATACACCCACCTCTGCTCTTCCATCCAAAGTAAGCATGCGGTACCACCACTACCACTCCACTCACTCAGATAGGTAGTGATTATTTTAACAGATTGTCAGTCAGCTAATTCTTGCTTGCGCTTCTATATTTGTCACCACTTGAAAGTTCAAATGAAGCATCAAATTTCTGCACTAGTAGTAATTCTTGGCCGTGCGACTTTTAACTTCGGAAAGTGATTTCAATTTGCTGGACTGATCTCTCTTGTATTCCGACGGACCAGCATTTCGCACAAATTAACAACTGATCAACATCATGTGCTGATCCTTTGCCGCTGTCTCTTCAGCCCGGAGACAGTCTTCATCATGGGAGGCGGCGAGGGCTCTGCGGCAAGGGAGATCCTGAGGCACAAGACCGTTCAAAGGGTGGTCACGTGCGACATAGATCAGGTACACATACAAACTCACAAGTCACAACCGAATCATAGGTCACGCCGACATGTTCACCGTTTACTTTAGAATTACATCATGGTGTGGCGAATGCATGATCAGGAGGTAGTGGACTTCTGCCGGACGTACCTGACGGTGAACCGCCAAGCGTTCAGCAGCGAAAAGCTCTGCCTCATCATCAATGACGCCAGGTGTGTGTACATATAGCTCATTTTTCGTTTGCAGTTTGCTAATTGCTTACCTGAAAGAAGAAATATGTCAGAATTTGCAGATTTGTTCCTAAAGATAATATTTGACAGGTATCACAAGTTCACAACGGTTTGTATTAAGCCTAGCATAAGGTCTGTATTATGCATGCAGGGCTGAGCTGGAGAAGAGAGAGGAGAAGTTTGACGTGATAGTAGGAGACCTGGCAGATCCAGTGGAAGGAGGCCCCTGCTATCAGCTGTACACCAAATCGTTCTATGAGCTTATCGTAAAGCCCAAGCTTAATGACCACGGCATCTTCGTCACCCAGGTATAAGTATAATCCATATTCCCCTACTCCAGAAATCACAGTTTTGGGCTTCAACATGCCAGTCTGATGGAAAATTGCTGATCATTTGCACGATCCCAATAGGCTGGACCTGCTGGTGTTCTCACTCACAGACAAGTCTTCTCATCGATTTACAACACCCTTAGACATGTCTTCAAATGTGAGTGTTGTTGGTTTTTACTTTTGGATAAAGGAGTGACGTCAATTGTCTGCCCTGTTTCTTCAGCACCTGTTGTTAACGGATGATAAGGACCATATGTGGGGTTTGCCAATTACTTTGTGCTGCAGATGTTCAAGCTTACACTGCTCATGTTCCATCCTTCGCAGACACCTGGGGCTGGGTCATGGTAATCTCACTGTCATGAACTTATTGCGGGCTGTTTCGTTCGATATTCCAGTTTCATTCAGTGTGGCTCACGATAGCATTTTTAGGCCTCGGACCATCCATTCGATCTCACTGCTCAGCAGATCAACGAAAGAATCGGTGACAGGATCGAGGGAGAGCTCGCCTACCTGAGCGGGGAGTTCTTCATTTCCTCCACCACACTGAACAAGAGCGTTCATCAGTCGTAAGTAGTGTTCCTATGTTCAGTTAATCAGGCACCGAATTGGCTATTACACATGTGTGCACTGTCAATGTGTAATGTGCTCTCCTGATTTGCATTGTTGATACAGGCTGCTGAATGAGACCCATGTATACACCGAGGATGATGCCAGGTTCATCTACGGGCATGGAAGGGCATGTCGCGCTGTCAGTTCATAGCTAGTAGCTCCTAGTTGCAAGCCAGCTACTCTAGATGCCAAAATAATGCTCCATCCCCAAAAAATTGATGTTTTAGTTTTGTTCTAAATTAAACTATCTAAAGTTTGAGCGAATTTATACATCAAAATACTAATGTTTCTATTACCAAATAAGAATCATAGATTCGTGTTCGTCATGCGACATATTTCTATAGTATACCTATTTTGTGTCATAAATGTTAGCAAATTTCTTTAAATTTGATCAAACTAAAAAGAATGACTTAGAACAAAACTAAAATGTCAAGTTCTATTTGAGATGGAGGGAGTAGGAAAGAGATAATAAATATAGACTACTTGTGACAAAAAGTTGAGCGCGTTACCGTTATCCATTCCTACCACTACCAGATTTTCTTTGGAAATATAAATACCGCTACGAGAAATCCGATATATTGAAAACTATACAATAAATGCAACCAGCAACATAAGTTCAGGGGTATTGCACCACACAGGACCAACACTTCTTTCAAGTATTTTTCAATAAAAGATAAGTCTATGCATAATTCGAATGCTTTTTATATTCTGTGTGCTGCACGATTTGCTGTTTGATTTCTCGAAGTGCCAGAGTTATAGTGGCAAATGAAGGCCTGCTTGAAGGTTCTGCATCCCACGTTCGGCAGATGAGATCAGTCAGGCCAGTAGGATATACATCTCGTTCTGGGAGTTTGGGCCTTAATGTTCCATTTGCAACATTCAGCGCAATCTGTGAAACAACATTGCAAACTTAATAGCATGTCAGCTACTATGAACAAAGGGATAGCACAATTTTTCAATCGAGAAAGTTGAGAATGCAGCCAGGCTATGGCAAGTAAAATTGAAGCATCATGTCATGAAGCCTGAACAATTTATAGGCACTATCTCCATGTTCTACAGGAGTACAGATGATCTATAGGTAGGATGTGAATTCACCTTGCTAGGTCCATAGTTTGTTTCAATGTATGGATGCTCTGCAGTCATCAGCTCATTCAGCATGATGCCGAAGCTGTAGACGTCGCATTTCTCCGTGTACGGTTCACAGCGAATCACTTCCGGAGCCATGTACACATAGGTCCCTAACAAAAATGTTGAAAATTTTTGGGAGAGAACATTAGTGAGAACTCGGGCTGCGCAGATGCACGTTTATGCACTGTGATCTCGTCGTATCTGTCTCTCCGGTGAGCGCCTCCTTCCCGTCCGGCAAGAACCTGGCGTGGCCGAAGTCGGTGACCCGCGCGCGCAGGTCAGCATCCAGGAGCACGTTGCTGGGCTTGAGGTCGCGGTGCACGACCCTGGGCGTCTGCGCGTGGAGGTGCCGCATGGCCAGCGCGATCTCCAGCGCCCTGCTCACCCTGTCCACCAGCGGCGGCGGAGGCGGCGACGACTCCCGCGGGCGGCGCTCCCGTCCCCCGTGCAGCCACTCCCCCAGCGTGGCCCCGCTCAGCAGCTCGGTCACCAGGAAGCAGCTGTCGGGCGGGCGCAGGCACGCGCCCACCAGGCGCAGCACGTGCGGGTGCCGCTGGCGCGACAGCACGTCGGCCTCCTGCGCGAAGAAGGCCTCGCCGCCGGGGTTGGAGCGGAAGAACTCCGGCCGCACCCACTTCACCGCCACGTCCAGCCCCCGCCATGTCGCCCAGTGGATGTCCGCCGTCGTGCCCCGGCCTATCACCTCGTGCAGCTCGATCTGTTCCATTTCCATCCATGGCCGGAACACGCACTGGTCACTCACAATGGTTTGCTTGCTGCGAGTTCGTACGTGATTGATCGTTAGTTACCTCGTCCAGCACGACGGACCAGCCGTGCTGCACCGCTAGGTCGCGCGTGGCGGCCAGGTACGGATCGTCGCAGGGCGGCGCCTCCGCTGGGTCGTCTTCGTCCGAGTCGTTGGAGTCGACCGTCGTCGCCGGCTCGGCTTCGGCGTCGCCGTGCGGCGACTCCTGCGGCGGCGGCGGCGCGCCGTCGGTTATGAGGTGCAGGAAGCCGTGCTCCTGGGCGACCTCGAGGCAGAACCTGAGGTACTCCTGCGTGCTCTCCAACCGGGCCTTGTACGTCTCCTTGAGATCCCTCTGCCTCTCGAGCTCCTCCATCAGCTTCGCGACCTTTGCAATGCATCACGACGCACCTTGTGTGTGATTCTAAAGCAGAGAATGAAATGACTGCGAGATTACATACAGATCATTCCACCGGGCCCTGATTGATGCCGGATGCGTGCGTGCCGTACCTGCTCGCTGGAACGGTGGTTCTGTGAGGGCGGCGTGGAGAAGAACCCGGAGAGGCGGCCGCGGTGCTGATCTTCCCCGCTCATCGGTGTCGCTGGATGAGAGATCGGAGTTCAAAGTTCAAACCGTGTTATCTGTTGAGCCGGTTGAGTGTTCCCAGGACGGGCTTAACAAACAGATAAGGGAACAAAGCAGTTCGCGTAGCATAGCACGTCGCGGCGCCCAGCCCACAAATGGATCGGCAAACGGACAAGAGCCGCGGCGATTCCACCAACGCGGTTTGGTTGACATATTTGGCAGGTTTTCAGGCAACTGCGTCGGCTGCTTCCTCGTCGCTCTTAAGGCTACGTACAACCCACACACAGCTGTCCATCTCTAAGCGTCTCAAATCTATCATACAGACTCGTATAAAGTCAAGTCATACAATCATCATATAGGGGTCTGTCTCCAAACGCCTCGAATCTATCATATAGACTTATATAAAGACATGTTATACAACCCAAAGACAGAGATCCATCTCTAAGCTGTTTAATGTTTTGCATGTAGTTAGGATCAATCATGAATATCAACACGTATACAATTGTGTGGCCGTTTGATGGAAGACAGGTTTAAGCATAAACTAGAAAGCAACGCGCGTCGTTGCCGCGCGGCTTACATGGAGTGCTGCCATTACTGTGAATCTGGTTTTAATGATGTCTAATACAATACAATGTGGCTCAATGTCACCTATCACTACTTGTTGGTGCTCATGATAAGTATTTGAGAATCTAAGGTGTTACGAGTCACTGACATCATAAATCGTATAATAGCAAGCATAGCATGATGGCATGGTCTATCTACTTCAACGAAAAAGGTTACGCTTCAACTCCAAATTGCACAAATAGGAATATGGTATTCTTATATATTGTATTGTATATATGCCTATGACCAAGTCGCATGTATAAAATCAGTTTTACTTTCGCTAAAATCTCGAAACACTATTAAGCAGCATGGTAGTGACTCTCCACTACAACCTGCCGATATTATAGTTGCAGACTACTGATCACGATTCACAAGCCATCATTGCCTGAGCTCGAGCTCTGCTTCCACTTGCAGTATGAAGCAAAAAAGTGAACGAACTGCTGAGAGCAGTAAAAGCTAAAAGAAATATCTAAGCTTTACAGCATAAAGAACTTTGGACCATGCGTCATTACTTGGAACATTGGGGTAATGCCTGATCCTTCAGCTATCATTCCAATGGCTCTCACTTCTCCAGGTTGGTACTTAAATGACCCTACGTTAGGGAAGCATTACTTCAATATTGAAAAGCCACAATGCATACCATGAGTATATGTATATTTTTATTAGTAAAATACTCCCTCAGATTGAAAATAGATATTATATTATCGTTCTCAACTTCTTTCAGATACATGTCATCCTAGAACTTCTGGGTATTTTTTTGCTGTTTTATCCATTTCTTGCCTTTGCTAAAATAAATGCTATCACTCCCACGAAACAAACAAACATCTCTTTCCAGTGTCGCAAAAAGAAGGTCCTCAAAAGATTATAGAGAAAATAGTATTATAAGGTGGACCATGTATGAATATCTTTGGTCCTTTTGCAGACAAATAATTGCCGATTTTCATCTAACAGAATTGCTGAGACGTTCTTCCTTGGGGGTATATCTTCTGATCGACCATATAGAACACAGTATGAGTTAGCTCTTGAATTTGTATAGATCATAAGCAAAAAGGTTTAGGCACCATGGTCTGGTCAAGATCTGAAGTGATCATAATGTGGGCTGAAGCATCGAGCCTATCCGTCAAAGTGCTCCTGTGAAGATTTGTGGGAAAAGTTGGGTGCTTCTGCTGTTCAGTTCCCACAAAGGAGATGGCAAACAACAACAATTTGTTCCTTGTGTGTTGTTTACCTACCCTTTGGTCAACCAGTGATGAGGTCTTGTTCAATATTATAGATGAAGAAGAGAAGGTAAATATGATTTGTGCCTCAAGAAATTTAGGCCACTAACAATCGTCCTTAAGGACTCAGAAACAGAGAGGCAAGAGATCATTACATTATTGAATCATGTAAAATTTAGGCAAGAGCTTCAGTTAATTTATGGATCCCATGAAGTTCACAAGACATGACATTAAACATCTGATATGTACTCTTGAAGAAAAATAAATTCAATCCGGGCATTATGGATGGATGTGTGTTAGCTCTAAGACATTACTGAGTTTCAGGCTGTGAGTTGAAGCAGATAGGAAAAATTTAAAATTTATAATACACAGATGAATTTACTTTCATATTTAGCAAGTGCAGGATATAAAAGGATTCTTCTACAATTGGGTGAATTTACTTTCATATTTAGCAGAAGTCTATCGTGGCAGCAATACTGAGCACCAATTGAGAATATATCATGTAAAGAGATTGAGGGCAGACCTTCCATTTCCCAGTTGTCAGACCTTACACCCGAGCACTTTGTCGCGGATTCATCTCTTCACGTTGTGTATTTCCCAGTACAGAATCGCCCCCCGATGGAGGAACCCCTGACCATCTGATGCTCCTAAAACACGGCAAAGAAAACAAATAAAGCTTGTTGCTCTTTTTTAGAGTTAGAACTTACTTCCTAGACAATATTTACCACCGACCAATGAGCTTGTAAGAACAGCTCCAAATTGACACCACTAGCTAATATGGCTAACAGAGGTGTCGGGGACCAATAGCAGGGTACCCAAAGAGGACGAGTTGATACCCATCAACGCTAATTCATCAGAGCGATCAAGAACGCGACTACATTTCTCAGTGGGCCCCGCCTCGTCCAAACCACCAATGCCGCAGAGCTCCGTTTTGTCCGATCGACCGACCCCCGAGGGTTAGGAATGCCTCAACCCAACGTCTGAGGGCTGGCTCCGCCTTGCCCGACGTCTGGGGGTTGGCTCTCGCCTCACCCGACGTCTGAGGGCGGAGCCTCGCCCGATGTCTGAGGGCTGACTCCGCCTCGCCTGACGTCTAAAGGATGGCTTCGCCTCGCCCGACGTCCGAGGACTGGCTCCGCCTCGCCTAACCCCTAAGGGATGGCTCCGCCTCGCCTGACCCCCAAGGGGTGGCTCCGTCCCGCCCGACGTCTACGCGTGACTCCTTCCTAACGACGCGCACAGATAAGACAGGGCATTCAAGTCCACCGCAATACCGAGGACCATACCCTGCACGTCTGCAGGAAAGTACCGTCAGGATATGACAAGAAGGGCGCTTTGAGACCTTGCAGGCATGTCAGAGCCCAAACAGTATTGTAGGCGCCGACATTTGTCTTACAGTGTTGTGGGCGCCGCCATCTGCCCTCGGGCACAGATCCCGACGGAAGCTCACGACAACCACTATGGTCCAGGAGGAAACTCGCTTCACCTACAGTAATGGACGTACGGTCACTGCGCCGTCTGCTCCCAGTATGGCCGCGGGTCAGCACCCTGGTCTGCCGCGCCGCTTGCCGGAGCGGGATGGGACGTGACAACTTGCTGACAATGCCAGGACATGGCATCATCAGTGGACAGACGCCTAGCGCGGGCCTATCAGGATCAACGAACATGCACCCAGCGTGGAGTTATCCCTGGCACCGCCTGCCATGTCAGCGGGGCCCGCATAGAGGAAAAGAAAGGCCCGGCATCTTTGAAGGACCTCCTTTGCCTCTAGTTTTCCTCTTTTCTCCCATCTGTAATACCTGCTCTCCCTTGGCCTATAAAAGGGAAGACAGGTGAAGCGACCTGATTTCCGCGAAGGGAAATCCACAGAGTCGAAGTGTAATAAGACCGTTGTAGATCATATAACCCAAATTCCAGTCGAATATCACATCCATACAACGATAATATAAGAGTACAAATAGTGCGGAATTACATAAATTATTACATCGCCGCATTGGCGGAATCGAAAGTAGCATTCATTCATAACAGCTAGAAGATAAGATCGCCAAACTCGAGCATAGGAACGAACCCCTCAACCGTCAAACTCCTCAGAGCTATACTCCTCAGCAGAACCTGTGTGCCAAAATTTATCAGCACGATTTGTACTGGCCACTCCCACCCTATGAGCATTGCTTTGTGGAAATTGGATGCAAGTTGGATATAATCAAAAGGAACCTATAAGGCTGGGGTTTCCTATGTATTAGCATATCAAGTATTTAATAACAGTTGGTCAAGTTTTAACACCAATTCCCACACCCATTCCACCCCATTCCCGTCCAGAGCTAGGTTTCGATCCTGGGATCGATATACCACCATCTCCACATCATCACCACATCACAACCATACCATCGCTCAGTTGACAGGCCAACTCCCTCTCGGCACTGTCTCATGGCCCGTAGCCCTGGCTACGTCCGAACACTCACTCCTAGGGGGAGAAAAGAATGACTCATCTCACTATCTAGTTTAAGCGAAACCCAGGAAAGGTCCATAGCCAACAAGTCGGCATATGTATTGATCGATCAACCATACACTATGTAGAGGTTTTACATAACCACAAGATCCGCCTTCCTCGCTGACTGTCGTCAACTAGGGCTGATTTCGGCCGCTTGCTAGCCTAGGATAATGCCACTCTACCATTCAGCCCTGGTACACCCCAAGTCTAGTCTGGGATGGCTGAAACTGTGAGTCATGAGCCGAGTCCACAAGGTCTCCATGAAGTCTCGGAAGGGTGTGGGGGGAATCCTCCACGCCTCGTACCTCCCTCACACTGTCCGCTATCAACCTAGCAATAGTGGCAATATCCTACCTGATAGTCCGGCCGTCCCACACCATATAGGGCGAGTGGTACGTAAGGCTTACCGGTGAATCTGAGTACTAGTAAGTCCTTAGGGACGACCAAGCCAGAATGTCTTCATCAGGGTTTCCATTTAC